ACATAAGATGACAATTCTACGGAATTAAATCCAAATCTTTTACTGGACAAAATTACTGTTTGTGCACTGAGCTAAATTAGTATGTGTATTTACGTATTTAATATATATATATATATATAACACTACACGATTTTTAATAAAAAAATATTCTACTGTAGATAGAAATAAATTATTCAAAATATGAATTTAATTCCCAAATAACTGAAGATAAAACAAATTATGCTACAAATTATGTTACATCGTCCTTTGAAGAGAATCTCCAAATAATAGTAGTATATAAGCTTTAAAACTTCTATTCACTTATCATTACTGTCTCAGAATTTGGCGTCAGAAGCAAGAAAATATATAATAAAAATATTTGAAAATATACTAAAATGGAAATGTTGCAATAAAGCAACAGTTCAATAGGAACAACTTGTAAAATATACCTAAAATATTTCTTTTATTTTATTAATTAATAATCTATATATATTTAGAGATAAATTATACACAACAAAAAACGAAATAAACTATTAATATATCCATAGCTATCAAACTGTTATAACTGTCAAATTAATAATATATAAAAATATGATTAATTTGTCTCCGAAACAAAAAGTGTGTATATAGAAATATGATTAATTCATCTCTAAAACAAGAAAGTTTTGATACATTTAAAAAAATCTATTATCTATTAATTACAAATGTTTTATTAAAAAATATTTATATTTGAACATATTTTGCAAGAATTTTTATGTATTTTTTGCTTCTGACGTCACAATCTGGGATAGTCGTAAATGAACAAATCTTAAAACAAATATTAGTTCTCCAGAGATTGGACAAGGAGGTAACAATCTCTTCCAAAAAAAATTGTAACAGTAACAATAAAATTAACAAAATCAAGAGAAAGTAAAGATTATACTATATAAAATCGTTTTTCTACACAGCCAAGAATCAGCTTAAACTATAGTATCAAGAAGTACGCATGTGTATTTAGAAACTTCTAATATACTTACACATCGTATAGTTTCATGTGTCCATCGTCGGATGCTGTAAGAAGCAACTGGGAGTCGGGTGAGAAACATAAAGACCTGATGGGCATCGCGTGACCTAAATAACATAAATTTGAAGGTAGAATCTTTTCTCTTTATAGTAAACGTTGCAGTATATATGGACCTACCTTCCAGTGTACGCAATACTTTTCCATAGGCAACATCAAAAATATTAATAATACCATCTATTGCGCCGCTTGCAATATATTTACCGTCGGGACTCTGGAATGAAATCTCTTATACACAAGTCACATGTTATACAAACAGAAGCCGTTATACGATCCACTTACATAAGCGACGCTTAACGTAAATTTTCCACCTCTTGTATCTAACGTCTGTTCCTGTTTACCATTATCAGTCCCGTATAAATGTATCTTACCAGCATGACTACCAGATACAATGAATTTGTCGTCAGGAGAAAAGACTAACGTCCAAATGTCTACTGGACCAACTTCAACGTTCAATAGCTTATCACCAGAGTGCAGGTCCCATAATTTCAGACTCGAATCAAGTGAACTGGAGGCGCATTCTGCGAATCAACGATAACAGAAAGTCCAAGCCAATTTTAATATATAAGCCAATATTTTCTATTTGTTTACTTGATCCATCTGAACTAATAGCTATAGACACAACTCCCAATGAATATCCAGTTAATTTATGTTTCAACTTCAAAACACCATCCCTCAGTTCCCATACTTTCACAGAATCATCCACGGAAGCTGTTACTAGATATTCTGCTGTCTCGTCTTCATTGGATCGTATAGAATCCCTGTCAAATAACGATATTCCTGTCGTTAAAATATAATTTTTTAATAATTATAAATTAACTTTTTAATTACCGAGAATCTTCATTATCTGGATGAGCATCTTTCTTTCTCTTTGGACAACCCCATCCGCAAGTCCATATACTATCCTCATGAGCATTTTCTGTTTTGTGAGTTAAAGCATACTGAAAAAAACAAAATATAAAAAGAAAAGTAATGCTTGGTAAATACTTGATAAACAAGATTTACAACACTTTTAGTCTCACCATTTTTACTATCAAGAAACTTTTATTCAAGCAAATGTAACACGAAACTTTTCACATGTGTTCTTCAGCGTTTTGTATACATATATAAATATATATGCATATATGCCGCTATATTAAAATTTTCACAATGTTCTTTCTAACCTCTTCACAATGAATGCCAATTGTCATAGACTAAGCACAGTATATACTGGGTGCGTTCCGATATTCACTGCAAGTACTGGCGCCTATGACGTCATTTAGTAGAGCTTTAAGGGCCTAGAGTCCTAGATTATCAGAGAAGCGCGACCGGTGTTACGAGTCCTGATTGGACTTGCAAATGGCCAATCATAAGATTGATTTATCGCTATTATAAATGGCTGCCGAATAAATCAATCTTATGATTGGCCATTCGACGTCATTTTTAATATTTTCTAGTACTTTTGCGATACTGCCATAAGCCGGTCGCGCTTCTCA